TCACTGTTACTTCTAAACTGGTTTGTTGGCGGGAAAACGGTCAGATTTATGTCCCAACAAGCGGAGATCTCCAACCTCGAAGGATCCACTCCAGTTGACACGCCAGTTTTCTAATGAATAATAATTATTCATCGTCAAAGAAAGTCCACAATTCATGGGCCATAAATATCAGAAAAATGCGTAAACATACTTTCAAAACTTTTGAAATTAGAAGAACGCTAATTAAAGAGAGGCCAATGCGCGATGGTCCTGTCTTTTTTTCAAAAATTCTCCCGTACCTGGGGAAATGGGAGGTGACACCAGGGTGAGGGTACACCATCCAAAAACATTCCTTCTGTATACATTGTTAAGCACATGAAGATGCCTCCCACCACACCTCAAAAAACGTTGGATTACGAAATATCAAAACGCCAACAGCCTCAGGGGAATCACGCCTGAACAGTATATACAGGGTTGTTTCCGCCAAATCGGTCAGTCTAAATTAAATCTTCGGCTCGAAGTCTTCAAGTGGTACCCTGCTCGTCATCCAGTTGACTCGTCTACAAGACAGCAAGAACCGTCTACAAGACAGCAACTCTGCAGAACCACCAACTGACGTCAGGACTGGCCCTGGTATGTCTGTACGACTTAACTCCCCTTGCAACGCCAGATGGAGTGTGCAACTTTAATTCAAACCGACGAGTCCAAAGTAACTTTTCCACTCTTAGTTTTCAACGAGGAGTCCTGCTCATTATTAAAGCTGGCTCTTCGAGATCTGTCAGTTGGGAAGCAGTCCTGCAATACCACCCCCTTTTCATCACGACTGATGCATAGCTTGAGTGTGCAGCTCAACTCTTCTCGTCGCGTCGGATCATCAGTGCTGATTCAACTGAAATGTGCTCGTATCTTGAAATTATTCATCGATTGGTATCCAACCGGTTGGTTACTTGACCCTCCAAGAAGAGGGCAACTCTGAGGATCCATCTCTCATGGCCGAAATAGTGTTCATCCCGAGCGTACAACTCATAGAATTTTCTCATTGAGCCAGCACAGACCTGGTCAATTGCTCAGCGTACTGCTGTTGTGACCCCGAGTGTACAGCTCGGCGCTCTTTCTACGGCTGCCAGTACAAAGCTAGTTCCAAACCAAGTTCTTCCTGAGTGGACAACTCAGCCCTGTCAACACCAGCAACATTTCCAGAGTCATCATCACATCATCTTCATCAGCAGTATAGAAGCATGCTTAAGCATTTCCAACTCCCTTAGTGCTAGAGAAGTTAGCATATTTTTGGAGTTTTCCGAAATCCACTGCGAAGAGGAAACTTCGAGAGATCATCCCCGTCCTTCTGCCGTTTAATTCTACCACCGTAAATCAGAAAAACACACTGTTACATTTTTTCCACCTCTACCGCTGGTTTTTATCTTGGACTTTTACTATCCTATATTTCAAGGGGACTGTAATAACTTAAAGAATCTATTTAAAGGGAAACTTAAGGGTATCTTTCTCTTTGTTTGCTAATTCCTCATTTAATGACCATTGTATACTTCACTACTTAGTCCCACGCAATAGGCCACACAAAGTGACATTTATAAGATCCTGACTCGTCCGGACACTACCCGTCGTGACTAGTTACGGTCAAATCACCTCAAGGGTTTACCCTTTATTCGATATTCCGACCTACCTAGTGACCCAGTGTCACCAATACTTAGAGAACTATTTAAAAGTTCCGTCTACTTACTCAATTGACATTCGATAGTGGACTATTACTAGATATATCATATTAATATTAAATTTTTGAGTAATAGAATAAATGTTTATTATCTCATTATATTTTTATGGTCGTATTATCATATTACCTTTCATTGTGGAATTAAGGAACACACCGAATTCTAATAAAAAGAAAACAATCTGCTCCCCTTACTTGATTCAATTGCGATCGAATCGTTCAGGTCAACTCTGTTTTGTAGTTAGTTTTTAATAATTTTTTTTTATCGTGAAACTCAGACCCAGAGTAATAAGTTTATATGAAAACTTTCTTAAGGTTCGGATTTATCGTGAGTTTAGATTTTATAAAGCTCCACAACCCTTAGGTCCCAAATCAGAGTTTAACGGGATTTTTTCGCTTCCAATTCTCAATAGTTGGGGGCGTTGAGCTTTCAATATAGCAGGAATATTTTTGAAATTATTTATCGTATTTATTTTGAGTGAAGTCATATTCAGGACAAAGCAAGACTCACTCCCCAGCTACTTCCTCTTAAGGGAATGAATTTTGAATGAAATTGAGGCAAGTCGTTGATGAGTTAAGGACACTCATTTTCGGGTCAAGTTTGCATTTCACACTAACGTCATGCTGCTACAATGCATATTTTGAGTAACATTTACGATATTTAACCAAGTGCTTGATTTTTGATGAGATAACTTCGTTTCAATTCAAGATATTTTTTCCAATCGAGTTTGGCCAAATTCATTATCGAATGTAAACTATGGAGTTGTGATTTGCAAATTAATATCATAAAAAAATGCGAAATTTGTATGTGAAAAATAAAAGGCCTTTTCACAATTTATTACAAGTTTTAAGAGGCTCAGTCCCCTTTGGAGGCAGGTGAGGCCGCTGACTGACACTTCTTCATTTGTACTTCTTATTCAAATTACCATAACGTTGCCATTGCCGACGCAGAATAAAATCCTATCTCAAATTGATATTTGTTTGATGTATTTTTTGGTACTGCTTCTCATGATTTCTCGTCTTGGAATTATTAGTGCATACGTCCCAAATTTGCAAACTGCAAAAACACTACGGAAAAATATTATCTAGGGTTTTGAAATGGGGTTTCTCAATCGTCTGGCGGGCGTCAACGCCAACGCCCACTTCACAAAGGTGAAAAACTCCGCCCCAACAGGCCGGAAAATATACACTATTTTTATCATCATCATCATGCCTAATTTTGAAGAAATATAATCGTCACGTGCAAACTGGTGAGGTGACGATTGAGAAATCACATATTCGGAATCAACGAATTATCAATAAATTCAATGTTCCTATTTTATAACTACAATCCCGAGAGAAATAAAAAAAAACGATTCTATATGATCTCCTAATCCTTCCGATCCTCCTGATCATTTCCAGGAAATCGTATGCTATGCAGTTGTTTGATAAAAAAAATATTTCACGGGGGTAGCTATCCCGTAAACGTCAATCACGCCACGTATTACGAATTATTATTCTCAGAATTTCCCACAAGCAATTTATTATTTCAACAAAAAGGGTGATTAATCGCACCATTGTGGTGAGTAATATTAACTAGAACAAAATTCCTCACCCAAAAAAATTTCCGGCCTTGGGAAAAACTTTAAGGACGTATTCCGCATTTTCCCATGTTGTCGCAAACGCAATTAGTTTTATGAAATTCTGAGGTAGACTTTTTTTTAAAGAATTGACTCTTTACAGGGGTAGTTCACCCATCAAATTTCAGCCCCCGGAGGACCTATAAATTGTAATTCTCATAATTTTTCACGAGCTATTCATTCGCATGATGAATAGTTATGAAAAGATTCTTTTTAAAGGTGGAGTTGAAAAATCGCCCCCAAAGGTGTCACCTGCTGACCATGGTTTGCCTCCTTAAAACCGCCTATCAGCCGATCAAAAAAATTACGTGCTCTTCAGTTTTGAGTCCTCTACAACATATATGAATATCATCGAAGTCAGACGGAAAAACCTCCCTAGTATTCCTTGTTAGTAATGAAAGCAAGACATAATGCTATAATACGACACTTTGATTTCTTTATTAATTAAATTCATCGTAGACAAAAACGGGAAAGATGTTTCTGTGAATTTGTTCTTTTACTCAGTTAATAATAACAGTTTGAGAGACCGTCAGTAGTGGCCGTGCGGTTAGAGTGCTAGACTAGCATGCCAACGATCCGGGTTCGATCCCGGGCACCGGCGGTCAAAATTTATAGCGCTCTAATCTCACAGTTTCACTCTCGAGCGGTTGTCCTGTCAAAAGGACGACTGTACCAGGGCAGGTTTTTCCCCTCGAATGAGGTTTTTCCCTCCCTTCGGCAAATACGGTACAGGGCGTTGGGGGGTGGGAAGGGAACAAATCGTAAAGACCCGAAAGGGTATACGAGAGAACAAAAGTAATAACAGTTTGAGAGTCAGTTATGTACAATGCTTCTCGGTATTAGGAGTACAACAGAGTTCGAAAAATGAATTGTACAGCAGAGCATGCAGACACAAATTTAATTAAAAGGTGAATTAGCATTCGCTTTTGGCAAAAAGAAGTTTATACATTCTTTACACTCTTTTATGTTCCGTTGCGTAAAAGTCCCGTTTACAATAAGCGCACAGTGTGCGATAAATACAATTTATAGCACAGTGGGACATAAAATAATAAATTAATGTAAAAATTCGATATTAACTTAAATCAGTAGACTTATATTATTGACCGAGTGAATTAGACGCGTTCGGTTGATACATTTAGTTATTATTAATATAATTAATAGTGCTTTCGTGCACTAAATGAAAACACGTGAAAATTTAAGACAAAAACAGGAGCTTTCATGGAACACAGCCTGATAAATTGAAAAAATAAGGTGTCACAAAAACACCAGTCTCGTAATCGGATTCCGCCAATAATTGACTGCATTAGATGGTTAATCCCTTCAAGAAACGATAAACAGATAAATCGTGAAAAAGGAAAACATGTTTTGGTCAGAGACTCTTTTTGACGAAAATGTTCACTAAAAAAATTTCATAAAATTTTACAATATTAAATAATTCAGAGAAGTTGCAATTATTCAATTGTTTTCAGTTTTAATCATTTGATAATATGGTACTTAAAGAACTGAGTATTGTTTCATACAATATTCTTCTCCTGTTTCATTTCCCATCACATAATGCCCTAATTAGCTTTAATAGACTGGATAAGAATGGATCCAACATTTCAATTGAATATGGACTCATCCTGTGAATATTTATTTCTTCATCAATCGTCATGTAATTATTTCAGGTCGAATGTAGAATAATAATTTCAAGCGGTCATGGTAATGAAATTTCAATTTTCAAATGCATTGCAGGCAAAAATTAATTTACATATGAGTAAATCAGTGAATTGATGTTTCGAGTGGGTATCAAAACCATCAGGACTACGTCTTCCAGATTGATATAAAAATTTCAAAGTATAAATTATGTCCGGGATCACAGAATTTCACATAGTTTGCTAAAATTTTCAAAAACTTCATTACTTAATCATCTCCATAATTTAACAGGTGATCTCAACAATGGAATTTAAAAACAAATAGACCAATTTAAATCTAAACTACGGAACTGAGCCCTGAATGTTATCATGTAGAATCAAAGTGATACGCACTGATTTATCATTATCTGCATGATTATTCAAAAGAGAACTTCTCTATTACCGCTGTCAATAAATTTTGAAATTTTCAGGTCATCATAATTTTATACTAATGGCGGAATTCAAGGTGACTTATATTGCGGTAATTGCCGGTTTTGGCAATTCGACTGCTACTGTGTTGCTAATAGCGGGGATATAACAACTTGTTGTTGATTCAACGGAGTTGTCGACGGCCACAATGTTCAATGAGGACATCTTCGCTCGTTGGTAAGCTACTACTGTATTCATACTCAAAAACCTGAAATAGAAAAATTGCGATAACATTACGAAAAAAAATACTTAAAAATATAGTAATAATTACAGAGAAAACTATCTTCAGTTATAAAACCATATCTATTGACTTTTACACCTCACACAATTAATTATCAATGCTGATCTGTCTAGTATATAACAAAGCTTGATCAGGGCTTTATCGTAGTTTCCCCAATTAGGTCTCAATCTCTTAATCGGTCAAGATATAAGCATGGAATGTGTTACATGACAGGCAATTAATCAATGGGCCAAAGCCACCGGGAACTGTTAAAATTACTCTTACCTGATGCAGATATACAATATTAACAAAACTGTTCCAGCGGCAAGCATCCGAATGATGGGACCCTCGACTAGTTGAATGAGTATCCAACCTCCTGCAGATGATCCGCACATTGTGGTAACAATAGCAATAGTTTGTAGCCAATGACGCGGCGTTAAGCTGTGCTGCCAGTCCAATCTATTAGCATGCTCAACGTTGTACTTGGTGCCACATACTTTGCAGGTTAAGCTGTCCGCATTCATTGAGCTCTGCAAATTGAACGTCTTCTTAAAAAAGTATTTTTAGAATCCAGGCAAACCGAATTGCGTAGCTAATTTTCTGATACATTTTTATTGCTAGAAAAGAATTTTGAAGCTTTATTCTTACACCATGACATCAAAATTAGAAACTATAGTAGGATTTGGAGTACATAGACCATGTTCCTACTTTGTTGTGCTCTAATTTTTGAAATATTTTTTTTGTCAAACTCATTAGATAATTGAAAAATGTTATTTACTCATGAAAACTTCGGAAATTCTCCGTTAGCCCAACAGCAGCTAATTCCAGTCTTTTAGGAACGGCAGTCTTTTTAAAATTGTCGGATAATCGGTTTCGTTTCATGTCCGTATGGTATATTAAGCGTATTCTATAGAGGAAATTCAAAATAGTAGATTTTCCGTAAGTTATAGCGGAAAGTACAGAGGTCATAGCCGAAAGCTCGTTAACTCGCCAGCCCACTCCGGGCAGAGCACAGTTCTTCATTCCGAATACCTTTCTATAGTAATTTTTTCGCATTAGTTGTTTCAGAACAAGAAGAACAGAAATCGGTCCATGTGGTGAAACAACTTGGGTGCGTTCGAGGTTAGGCAACAGATGTACAATCTGCTAAGACCACAGGTAGATAGACAAAAATCACAAAAAAACTTTTGTAAAAAAATTTTGCCAAGTGGAGGTTTTATTATATGATCATATTTTCCCAAAAAATATTCTCAGTTTTATTCACAAAAAAATACGGAAAGCAGCTCTGCAGCATCGCCCACTCTCATCGCTACTACATCGAGTGGACAACTCGATTTTCTGCACTGTGTCAGATCGACCGCATTTCTGCAAGCCAGCATCGATCTGGTACATTGCTCAGCGTACAACTGAGCTCATCTTCAGTGTACAACTCAAGGAATCTTCTCGTCAAGCCAGCACCGACCTGGTAAAACTCTCAGTGGACAACTGAGTTCATCCTGAGCGTTCAGCCGCGGATATTTCTTCAAGCCAGCACCGACCTGGTGAATTACTCAGCGTACAACTGAGTTTACCCCGAGTGTCTAGCTCCGGGATCTCTCTACGCCTAGCAATATCAAGCTAGCGAGCAATCAAGTTCTGCCTGAGTGGACAACTTAGGCTGATTAACACCACCGAGACCTCCGGAGTCACATCATCATCATCATCAGCACTAAAGAAGCGTGTTTGAGCAGTTTTTGACTCCATCGATGCCAGAAGATCTAGCATACTTGTGGAGTTCTCAGCAATCCGCTGCGAAGAGTAAACATCAAGAGATCACCCCTTCCTTGCTGCCATTTATTTCTACAACTGTAAGTCAGAAAAACACCCCAACAACATTTACACTATTCCCTCCTACACTTTTTCCCTATCTAGCCCTGGTTTTTATCTTGGACTTTATTCTATCCTGTATCTCAAGTAAAGTGTAATAAATTTAAATTCTATTTGAAGGGAAACCTAAGGGTATCTTTCTCTTTGTGTGCTAATTCCTCATTTTATAACCATTGTGTACTTCAGTACTTAGTTCCACGCAATAGGCCCCACTAACTGAGATTTATAAAATCCTTTCTCCTCCGGACACTAAATGTCGTGACTAGTTACGGTCAACTCATCTGAAGGGTTTACTTGATACTTCGATCTGCCTAGTGACCTAGTGTCCGCTACAAGAGTAATCTTGAAACTAACTTCGTTGGAAGTATTCATGTAATTCCATGATGTACAACAATCTAGGTGAGTGAATTCTATTCGAATCGTCTTTCGTAGCTGATCCGTTCTGCTAACAACTTCTTGGAGAAATAGTACCGGGTCCTGTTCGGTATCGCCACTAAATTCATTGTCAACTGTTTGTGTCAACTTTGCTGCATCCAGAACTTGCTTACCGTTTGATCCATAATAAGTGATCTTTAATGATTTTTATAAAATAATTAAAATTATTATCGGCACATCGCCCTCAACTTGAAAAATTATTAACATCTACTTATTATGGATTAACTGCTAATTTCCAGCTATCTTTGACCTATAAAACACCTGGAAACGATTAACAGGGTCCGAATAATTAATTTATTCAATTCGGTGGTCCATGCCATACTCCAAGCGCGAATTAGTGTGGGCGCACCGCTACGACACTTTCATTCTGAAACTTATTCATATGCATGAGTATGTCTCCTGTAGTCTCTGGACAAAAGGAGGAAAAGGGGGAAAGACACGCATTATATTCGTTGCCAACTTTGACGAACAAATCTAACACTGAGAGAAAATACAATTGCGGAAATATGACATTATGGTGGTTGCTATGGGAGGATATTTTTATTTAGTGATTCAATCGAAAAAGTAAAAATATCTTCATAATGCTCCTAGTCAACTTATATAATGTAACTAAGGCAAGATTTCACGAAAAATTCTCGTATTACAAGAAAAAAAATCAAACACATTTTTGGAGTAGTTGTGTCGTGTATATTATAGGCAACAGTATCGGCATGTGACGTTACACCGATAAAACCTCCACATGGCCGATACGTAGTCGTGTATCTTGATCAGGGGTAAAACCATTTGGTTGCCAATGCACTTCTAGTATTTTTCTCACCTAGGGAGGTAAAGTAAAGAAGGCTGGCCCGCAGTGTGCCTTCGGCTCGGGCGGTAAGTACGTCGGTATGCCTTTTATTTTACAGGTCAATGATAGCACTTCGGCTCGGGCGGTAATTCTGCACGTGGGCAAGCCTTCTTTACTTTATCTCCCTAGGTTCGAAATATACTATTTCCATATAGTTGCATCAAATTGGTTATGAAAGTGGAGGATAGGATATCAGTAGATTTAGAGTTGGGAAATGATTTTAGGAACGATAATCAGAATTATACGTCAACTTGGTACTACAATGGTAATCTCAACATTTTCATGATGGTGACCCTTTATTTTAACTTAAGAAAATCAAATCATCTGTGCTTTGATTAGAAATGCTTTAAAAAATTCTGAAAAAATCATACAGTTGTATTGTGTGACAGGCTATCGGTTTTTAATTCAAGCGACGTAGAGTTGAGAATACGTCTTTGAGAATAGGGCATTTTCATACTCCTATATGATCATTATAGGTGCGCAAACCGCACCCTAAATGGTGGTGTTAATTAAATCACGTTCAAAACAATCAAACTAATTATGCGATTAATTTGATTTTATGATAGATTCACGCCAATTTAATATTTCTTAACATATATACAGTGAAAACGAACGAATACACTCTTAATGACATAGTCATATAAAATGCAAAGAAAAAAAACAATTAGTTAATCCTACACTATTAGTTTTGGGCGAATATTGCGAACTTAGAGAATATTTTCTTAATCTTAGCGTATAAATAAAAATGCGTAGTCGAATTTACCAAATTTTTTTCGTTTAACGAGATTTTCTAGACACTAGTGAAATATAGGATGAAAATCATTCGGAGTAATAAACGACATCTGACGCCGGCTGAAAGAGCTGAGCGAAAGATGACTACGGGATCGGACGACGGCCAATCAGGCCGCTTCAAAGGTGAGTGAAACTAATCACATGGTGGAAGCTGGGTGGTGGTTGTGGGGTAACGGATAACCCACAGACACCGAGACGTTCAGACTAGGGGGAGAAGACCCTGGGAGATCTCGAGGCAGTTGGAATTGAATGCTGGTGTCGAGCGAATGTTTTAGGAGCTCGGCACTAGTTGGTGGTAATAATCCCCGTTGAGGTTAGGATGGGTACGTGTTCCCAATCTGAGATTGGACTAGCGAAAAATGGGGACGCTTATGCATCCCGATTAGTGACATGGATTGCTTTGTGGCTGTGGGCCGAGCGTTTCCGGCCACAGAGACCCATCTTCAGGGTGAAACGCAAATCGACTCGATTTGGGAATCGAGTCGATTCCCGTAGGTCCGAACGCACGTGCCATCGCAAGAATCTCTGGTTTTAGCTCGCGAGGAGATTGCTGTTACTAAGCAGCCTCGAGTTGGGGTAGACATTAGATGGGTGAGCAATTGCACTGGAGGCCGATGTCGCAGCGCCCGGCGGGGTGAGAAGGATTCGGAGGTAATCTGTGTCTCGTTCGGGGTCGAGCCACCCTGAAGGAGAGTGGAAGGCGTGTGAGGGATGGCAACATGCTTCCGCGAAGGACCTGGGGAGTACGTTCGCCAATAGTTTTCGCTTAACGACGCCGCAACAGCGGCTGAAGTCGGCAGCCAGAGTTACTCAGATGTTGGCGAACGTCGCCCACTTTACCGTGTCATGCTGATGCTAGCTCGGCATTGTGAGACGCGTCACCGAAAGCCCACGGAGTCGACATACTTGCTTCGCGGCTGGTTTTTGTCAAGTTTTCCAGAGAAACCTAGCTGGTACCCAGTCGTAAGCGATAGAGATGACAGCAGAATAGTTCGAGGACTATCCCGGGGTGTTGAACGGGAACATCCTTTTACATTTTATATTGAATACGTTATTAGGCATATTTTGACGAATGCTAACTTCCCATTTGAAATGTTGCAAGAAAGTAAAAGTACTATTGAACTCCAAAATTTATCTGTATTTACTAAATGGTTTCTTAAAGCAACCAAATATTATTTTTTAGTCCCTAGCCAATAAGTTAGTTGTTGCAAAGTAAACAAACGCACGAGTCTTGAAAATTTAGTCCCTTCGTAATGAGGGCCCCTGCAACGAAATCGTCTCCGTGCCGATCGCCCGGTCATGTGGTTACATTGTCAACGCAACAGTCAAAATTATGTTGTGTGTTATGTTTTGTCTCGTGTATCCTAGTGCAATACTTGAAGTCAGATAACGAATTAGTGTTTTGTCAAGTCGGTGTGATTATGGAAACTCATCACTGTTTATTTACTTATGAATGAGTCATGCAAACGCAGTATTGATGAACATTTCCAAGTTTACAAAGTCGTACGCAGTCAAAAACCGTATTTAATTGATGCTGTTATTAAGCAAATGAGCCATATGAAATTAAATATTCACTTTTTGAGTTCATCACGA